AGTTGGGGAGTGAATTTTTGGAGAACTTTCATTTCTGAAAATATGGTTTACCTAGGCCCTTAAGTTTGCTAGATTGTTGGGAATAGAATTCTGGGTTAAAGTAATATTTTCCTCAGACTTGGGGAGGCTCTGTTCCATTGCCCTCTTTTGATGCTGTTGAGAAGCTTGAAGTCAGTCTGCTTCTTGATCATATTTATGTAATCTGTCCCTCCCATTCACCTCCCACTCTTCTTTTACTTTATCTTTGTTTGCTTAAATTTCATGGTAAAGTGATTTGGTGTGGATATATATTTATCCACTGGGCTGGGAACTCGGTAAACCTTTTCAGTATGGAAACTCATGACCTTTACTGCCTGGAAAGTTTTTTTTTTTCTTTCATAATTTCCCCTCCTAAGTTTTCTCTGTTCTCTTTTTCTACAAACCTTATTCAGATGTTGAGCCTCCTAAATTGAATTTTTGGGGGTTATATTTTCCATCTCTGTCATCTTGTTTTGCTTCCTTGGAGATTTCCTCATCTTCATCTTATAACCCTCTTACCAAGTTTTGCATTTATGTTATCATTTTCTTGCTTTAGAAGAGCTCTCTTTTATTCTTTGATCTCCACACTCCCCCCCCCACCAGAAAAATGTTTTTTTCTATTACTGAATTATCTACTCTTATCTCCCTGAGGATATTAATTATAGTATGTTTTTGTTGTTTTCTTTTCCCAGGATTGTCTTTATTCCTTCTAATTGACTTTCCTAAGTTGTCTACTGATTCTTGGTGAACCATTCTTCCTTTAGCATGGGGCATTTACAAAACTGACTAGTGGGCCATCATAAGTGAGCTTTGTTGATGGTAGATTTTGATGTTGGGGCCATCTGGTTGGACAGTTACTTGAGGACAGTTACTGAGAGCTAAATTCTATATGTCAACTTGGCTAGGCCATAGTATTCAGTTGTTTGGACAAACACTTACCTGGATATTATTGTGAAGCTATTTAATATTTTTTTTTATTTTGTAGATACAATTCACACCTACAATCAATTAACAAGTAAAGGAGATTTCCTTCAAGAACTTTGATAGGCCTCTTCTAATCTGTTGAAAGTCATAAGAGGAGAAAAGGAATTTTGCTTCAATACTATAACAAAGAAATCTTATTTCAGTTTACAACCTGCTGATCTGCCCTATAGATTATAAACTTTCCAGTTGCCATAATTGTATAAGCCAATTCTTAAAGTAAGTGTCTTAATATAAACATACATATATCCTATTGATTCTGTTTCTATGGTGATCCCTGACTCGCACACAGGGAACCTCTTATCTATATTTTTAGGCTTTTCTTCTTGGGCTAGTCAGATTTCTCTTAAAAGGCTCTTATGATCTCTTGACTAAAAGGCATTCTGACTACCAGTGATATAAGAACATTGCAGTGTGTTTCTTAATTCTCTGATTTCACTGTGGTACCCCAAGCTTACACTGTGCCTGGTAACTCCTAGATCAGAAACCATCTCCAGAACATGGAACACTTTACTTTTCTTAAAAACTATTATCTTCATATGGAAAAGAGAGGGCACTGCCACCCGAAACTCTGCACCCATTCATTCCCAATGTTCTACTTCAAAGTTCTTGGATATATATTCCAAATGTCTTTAACAATTGATTTCCCTATAAATTAATAAAAAAATTTGATGAACTCTGGCTGAATTTCTGTTATATTTTGGGTGCTCTAAGAAAATAACACATCCCTCCCTCATTCTTAACACTCATTATTATAAAAATAGCACAGATCAGCTGCCCCCAAACTCTTCATTACTTCTCATAGGCATCTAGGACTCAGTCCTGCTAGCCTAAGCTCAATAGCACGTCTTCCTTTTTGTTGATCGGTCAACAAATTCCTTCCTTTCCCTTTTTTCTGAGGCCTTGTGCTTTCTTATTCTTTTTGCCACAGCATATTTTAGACCTTTAATGTTCTTCTTTTTGGATTTCTGCATGCCCTCCTGACCTCATGACTTAAGCTTCTTCCCCCTCTAATTTATCCTGAACTTTACAGATGATCTCAGCTTCATAAATAATGTTTCACTATAATGTTCCTCTTTGCAAATACTTTCATATTAACTTCTGGCTTAAGATGATGGATTGAGCTCACATTTACTTCATTTTCTTCCCCCATGCCCCTTGGAAATGACAGTAAAACTTTAAAAATAAAATAAATTTAAAAGATAGGCATAAACCCATGAAGACAAACATCACTGACTTAATAGACATGTGAAAATGGGATCCTAATGCATTGGAGAGGACTTCTAGACATGATTTATGCCACAAAATCTCTGAAATGCTTAGGGACTGAAATCACAGGAGCTTTGAGCATTGACAATGAACATGTAGCTCAGAACAAGTTGATTGCTTAAAAGTGCATGGAAGAAGCCACCAGGCCCTCAGATTCTCTCTACCGCTGCACACAAGAGACTACTGCTTCTTCTTCCCGGCAGCCATTCAAGTCTTAAGCAGAACATTGAAGGATTCAGTAATTTTTTTCCTTCATATTTACATGGCAGCATCAAAAAAAAAAAAAAAAAAAAAAAAAAAGATGTTTTCCACCTTCAAGCATGGCCTCTGATGATAAATCTATTATTTTTGGTCTGAGACAGGCAGAGTTTTAGGAATATCAGGAAGAATAAGAATTGCTCACCAGGGCAGAGCTGTGTCCAGGGCAAATATAGTCTGGAAGAGACTTCTACAGAAAAGCCACCATACAAAGAATAGTACGCACTTAGCCTTCATGTAAACAAGAATTAGTTCCAAGATTCACGGTGAGACAAATGGAGCAAACCAGCTGAGGATCCACATGGGGTCAGTTGCAGTCAGAACTGCAACCTGTCATGAGTCACATTTACACCTTTAAGCAGTTTAGCACCTGGAGTTGGTTGTAATAAAGCCCTGAGGGAGGCATACTCAGGTGTCTAACAGTATTTCTACAAGGTCCTTTTTTTTTTCTCTTTTGCTTCCATTACAATCTAACTTTGGCTTTTTGGCTCTTGCATCTGGACTTGGCCTTGCTCCAGTGAACATGCCATCCCGGTCTGATATGCTTTGCTTTCCCACCGGCTGTTTTCTAAGCTTGCCAAGTGCTCAATCACAGTGGCCCCAACTTATCCCCTTTCTCTTTATCCCTCCTCACCCCTTTTTGATGCATGAGCCATGACAGAGCCCACTTCTGTCATGAGGAGTCCCGGAGGGCCCCTCTGTTTTCAGTAAAGGCGTAGTATTTAAGAAGAACTGAGAAGTTGCCAACTAACCAAATGTAGTAGAAAGGAACTGAGACAGATTTTAAAATACTGCTAAGCAGAGTAAGCATCCAGGCAAAGTCTGACAACTAAATTTGTAGTGGGCTCTAATTAGACGGTTCCCCATTTACCACCCAGAAGAAGGACTGGAAAAAGCAGACAGAATGGTCCAGAAAATCCCATGTATCTATAAACACATGAAAAAAGCCATGAAAATATTAATGACAGTAGTCTGGGGGATGGAATTTCAGGTGATTTTTTTGCTTTCTTCTTTTTTTATGTATTATTTACATTTATAAGCAGAAAAATGGTAGATACAACTAGGAAAAGAAGCTATTTCTATTGTGGGAGGTGAGTTGGGGGATGGGGGGATGGGGGGAGAGAGAGTTGATTAATGGAGAGAAAGGAAAAGTGATCCAGGACTTGGGACAAGCACTTCAAGGCATTAAGTATACAAAAAAAAAAAAAAAAAATGGGGGTAAAGGTAAGATTGGACTACACTGAACAGGCAATCAAATATCAGCTAAGAAAACTATAGACTGAAAAATTTGAGGGAATGACTATTCCGGCAATCACAAACCACACTCAAAGCAAGAAGGCAAAATGGGCAGATGTAGTGATAAATCTCTTCTCTTGGGTTAGAGATTGGCAGGGTTTTAGGACTGTCAGGAGGAATGCTTTGAGAGAACTGCTAACTACGGCAGAGTTGACCCTAGGGCTGCTATAAACTAGCCAAGTTAGTTTCCCTTTATCAGGAGAGTACAGGCTTTATAGAAAGTCCACCCTCAAAACTTAGGTATTACTAGATTTCAATGGCCAAGTCAGATCACATACCCATACTACTTGTTATTATCATGGGAATCTATGCTCTGCTTGAGGATGTGATTGTTCTGAATAAAACTGGAATTCTATAAGCAAGGAAGAAGGGAAAAGATAACTAAGTAGGCAACTAAGGCAACTGATCCTCTGCAGTGAAGCTGGTAGATTCACTTCCAACCTATTCACCCGCAGAGGACATTTTTAAGTCTGTGTTGTTTCTCAGAGACATTTGATTAAAAAAAAAAGTTATTAAGTAGGACTGCTTTCCTGCACAGGCCTAGGTGCTAGGATCTGGAAGAAACAACTGCAGATCTCTAACAAAACAGAAATATTGTACATAGTCAGTGCTTGGCAAAGTATAAATACTTATTTTATGATGGATGAACAAAACAATGCTGATTCTTTAATTATATAAAGCAATTTAAAAGCATTATAAGAACGCCATATTCTTCCCTTTTTCTTTGGAAAATAATTTTTCATTCACCATAATAGTCTATCATTTGCCAGAATCTAGAGCAGCACTGCCCAGAACTTTCTGCAAAGATGAAAATGTTCTATATTGGCATTGCCCACTGTGATAACCACTGTGACCACAGAGCACATGAAACAGAATGAAATGCCACTGAGAAGCTGAATTTTAAATTTTATTTAATTTTAATTTGTGAGAATTTAAATAGTGATGCATAGCTAGTAAGCTACAGAGCTGGACAGCCCAGTTTCAGAGAGCTTGAGTATTATTAATTCTGTAAGTTAGTAAAGGTAAGAATCTAATGCTAATCTATTTCCCTCACTTCGGTTATCACTGGAGCAAATTGAGATGGTCTTAAATTCTCACCTACTATTCTCAACATATATAAATTATTGTTTTTCCAATGAGATTATAAAGTTCACTCAAACAGAATTAATTATTTACAGGTGACAAAAATAGACGTCAAAGATCGATAAGAAACATGGATCTGATACCTTTTGAAAATTGAAGTTAACAAAGGTTTTTCTATGATTATATGGACTGTTCCTGTGTGGGAAAGTTTATTTTCCATTTGCAATTAATAGACTCACTGATTCACCATCAACAGTGATAAGTTCCTCCTGAATGATACTTGATCTTCACCAAATGCAGTTAGCACTCAACCAGTCTACTTCTATTACCCTGTAACATATCCTGAGTAGCTGCTTTGCATAACCATCTAAATACTGTTTGTTTTATCATTTTAAATGCATGGATACCTCATCTTCCTAATTTTAGATCTTAAGCTTCCTGAGGACAAGATACAGTTCAACCTTTGGTGGAAAGATCCCTGGAGAGATAGTCAGGTTATGGAAATTTGTACAATTCTTTCTGAGTCTCAGATTTCTCTAAGTCAGTCCAAAATATATTGTGTGCTGTCTATCAAAATAAACAAACAATCTTCATTTTCCAGCCACCCATGAACCTTACTCGTCTTGCTTATTTATACATGGTTAGCCAGGAGGAGGGGAAAATCTACCTTTTTGAAGAAAATATTTGTCAATTTTGTCTCAATAAAATTTTAGATTTAAAGCTGTTTGCAAAAGTATAATATTACATTTACAATTTTAGTACAATGTCCTTTGCATTGCATATAATTAATACATCCTTAATAGTGCTATAAATAATGGAATTAAAGCAGGTTTCTCATGGCCAGTCTACATTAGTACAACACTGTATTCACTGTAATTACGAATTAAAAGGATTTTTTCTAATGTGTCTTTACTACCAGCTACACCTGCTGTACCAAGCTGTACATACTTCAGGGGAATGAGGTATCCCGAAAAAAAGTGGAATTAAAACATGAAAATCTATGCAATATAGACCATTCGATCATTCTTTCACAAGCAAAGTAGAGATAGATATGTCGCTGAACTCTGAAGGAATTACCTATCCTGGAACCAACTCTTCTAGCACCTATACTGCACTGCATTTTACAATGATGGATCCAATACTCAGTAATGTCTATTTTAAGCTTTAAAGATCTGGAGGGGGGAAAAAGCAGCCACAGAGAAAATGCATCCAAACTTCTTTTGGAATTTAGGCAGGACCTCCTAAAAAATATAGTCACCATAAAAACCCTCTCCAGGAGTTTTACAGCCAGAAAGAATATAAAACATTATCATGGGGATGAGCAACTGTTTGTAAACTTTATCTGAAACTGTCATTCTTTCCCTTTGATCTTCCAAAGAAGCCCTTTCCTCCCTCACCTCTTACCCCATGTAATTGGGATATAAATTCTTATCTCTACCTTTCCTGGGAGCTCTTCTTCCCGAGGCTCCTGTGAATGTAAATAGACTTTGTCTTTTCTCCAGATAATCTGAACTCACTATTGGAAGAGGAAAAGTTTTTCCTCCCACCATCTAACTTTACCTTTACAATAACCCTAGCATATCCCCATTTTCCAAGTGAGAAAACAAAGCTTTGAGCAGGTTCAGGAATTTTTCCAAGGCCAAATAGTAGTTAAATGGCAGAGATGGAATTTGAATTCTAATTTCCTGAAAAGGGAAAAACAGCCAATTTTCCTAGCCTGCTAAATACACAATGCTGAAGTCCTGGGACAGCCAGGGAGGGGATTAATTCTTTAAAAAAAAAAAAAAATTATTTATGCATACAAGAACTGGGGAACAGGCTAGAGGTGCAGGGGGCGGGGTAAGACAATTCACCAGAGACAGAGTGGGGAGCAGAACAGGCAGACTGACAAAATACACTGCTGAGGGGAGCAGCGGACGAAACAGGAGAGGTCTGCTGCACCATGTGGGTAGCTCCCTGGCTGGCAGCCAGCTAGCCAATTCATGCAGCAATGGCTGTGGATAGCTTCACAGTGCTGGGCTTAACCCCTTGCACTGCCAGGGAGACCCAGAGAGGGGATTAAAATTCTATTTCTCCCTTTTCCTTGGATATTTGGAGCCCTGAGGGCAGTGCTGCCTCACCCACTTTGAGGCAGTAGCCTGACCTGCGACAGCTATGTGAAAGGAGCTCTCATCTGAAGTGTAAGAGCTGACTGAACATTATGTTGTGTTAGTACTTGTAGTCAGACTGCAAGGGGAGAAGAAAGATGCCACACGTCAGTAGGCAGTGCACCAACTTAGAAGCCCACAGATGCCCCTGAGAGATTGATCTTGGCCATTGGTTTTCAACCTTATCCTCACCTTGATACCCAACAGAAAAGAAGCTCTCAAGCACGAAATACTGAAGTTGCTGTAGAGAGGTTTCCTGTTCTCCGTGACCCACTAACAGCCATCTCCTGTCTTACTTTCTTCCCCCAGAAAAATTCACTGGAATCAACCTGACAGAGAGACGTCATTTTAAGGATAACCACTAACCTGCTTACATTCATTTAGTAATAATGATTACTACTAGTAAACGGTACAGTTTTATTATTAGTGATGTAGGTGATGCACATTTCACAGCTGATCCTCATAGCCCAGGCTGTCTTGGCTACCTGGATTATAGAAAATTAATAATATGTCCTATCAGGAAAATGCCCCTTTGTACTGGGATTGATCTAGTATCTTGAAACAGAATGAAAGGCCACAACAGCCAGCAGTCAGGCCTCTGTTCCAAAACACGTGAGTTCCCAGTCTGACCTCTGTGGACATCTTCTAGCACTTCTAGATGTCCACCTCTGTGGACATCTTCTAGTTCCTTTCCACTCTGCCATGCAAAGACATCAGCATGGAGACGCACCATGGTGCCATAAGAGCTATTGCCTGCTTTTCTAGTCTTGAAAATGGAAGAAAAATGACTGTCAACAAAATAAAGTTATCAAGCTACTGATGTATGCGCCTAGTGAAACAAAGATCAGATTTCAATAATAAAGACGGAAACTTGGGAAAGTCTTAAATTGAGCAAGGCTGTCATGGCCCTTGGGGCTACCTCTGCAGAAGCAGTTAATCATCTGCCTGAACAATCAAATCAATATCCATGACCTTTTCTTTCCGTTGTCTTTCTCCTGCTGCCTCTCCTCTCTTCCTACAGTCAAACAGGAAGATAATGGGATCATTTCCTCTAGAAAATAAACACCACTATAAAGTGTATTTATAAGATTTTTTTAATGAAAATAAAATTCTCTGGAGAAAATTACGTTAGGTATCAAAATTATAAGGCTGATATTTGGTATTATTTACAGCTTATAACTTTTCCACACATATCAGTTTATCTGAACTATCACAGCTTCTATTATTTTGTCTCAGGGAACTCAGAACAAACGTCTTCTGAAAGAAGGATGATGTTCATTTCTCTGCCCTGGATGGGTTGGGACAGGGGAAGGGTAAGTTAACTGATTAAACTTTCACAAGTCAATTCACTCAGCAAAATATCTAGTATCCTCCCAAGTATATTACATCTCTCTATCGATGTGTCCTCAAATTAAAGTCAAAATACTCAAAACTTGGGTGATTTTCTAAAGTTCTTTGATATCCTTGAAAACCAACATAGCCTGTTGTTTCTCAGACCCATCAAGAATTCATTGTGCCTGCAAAGAGGCCCACACTGTTGGCCTTCTCATGTTTCTCTTGGAAGAGACAATAAACAATCCTCCCTGAAGACAGGTGAGAATGAGTTTGCCTCTCAAGTTAAAAGGAGATGGGAAGTGTGAGGTGAGGTCAGGGAGCACCACAGCAAAGTCTGTGGCTGAACTTGAAAGCTGTCCAACAGATATGTGTCAATGTTGACTGTGCTTAAAAGACAGAAAACCCAAACCTCCAGGTCCTCAAATTTCAGGGAAATTGAAGCACCTTCCTTATTTACCTTTAGCAACTCACTGTTTTAATAGCAGCATGAAACTTTCTTGTGACTAAACCTTTCTTGTCTATAAACAATCATGGCTGAGTAATTATCTACTCAAACAATGGCAAGTCACCTATTTTGTGATTTTTCAGGTGCCTTCCTCGGGAAGCTTTCCTTACACCGCCAACAGGGGCTAGCAGTCCCCTCTCTCAATTCTTGTAGCACTCAGGGCTCACCTCTACGCTTCATTGTATCAAACTGTGAGTCTTCTATCATGGGATCAGTTTTGGGGTGGGGGAGTGGAAAGAGAACAGAGATGAGGAGACCAGATATAAAGCACTTAGAGTGAAATGATGAGGGTCTGAACAAAGGCCATCAAAGAGGAGATGACCAACTAGTTTGCTTTTTTTAAAAAATTTATATATTTATTTATACAAGCACTAGGTACAGTCAGAAGTGCGGGAGGATGAGAGGATTCACCAGAGCCAGAGTGGGGTACAGAACAGGCAGACTGTCAAAATACACTGCTGAGGGGAGCAGCGGACCTGGCAGGAGAGATCTGCACGCCATGTGGGACCCTCACCGGCAGCCGGGGATCAAACTGGTGCTGCAGAGGCTGTGCACAGCTTCTTTGCAGCCCAGCGCTCAACCGCAGCACCACCAGGGGAGGCCCCCTGACTAACTAGTTTAACAGAAATTTAGGACATAAAATCCACAGAACTTGGTTACCGATTATTTGTGTGGACGTAAGCGGAAGTTGATGTTTGATGATAAATAGAAGGTAGTGCCTCAGACTAAGGTAGAGAATATAGAGAATAGAAACTTTAAGGGGTGAGGCCCATAAATAAGTTCAGGGTTGGGTACACTGAGTTTGATGTTCTATGGGCCTGGGATAGATCCAGGAAGCAAGCAATGGGTGTAAGACTAAAGTTCAAATATGGGTTAGGACTAAAAATCTAGATTCGTGCTTTGTGGCAATCATGGAAATGTACTGTGCAGCCCTCTCATTAAAAATTCTGTTGCAAGGACCTTACTTGGTAAACAGATTTTGCTCCTCGCCTTCAATCCGCTGCAGTGCTCACACCAGCCATGCTCTTCCTGGGCTGCTCCCACCCAACGACTGAGTATGGGACATGCCCTGTGGGATTTCTATAATACAGACTTTCTTAGGGCTGTACTGCAATCAGGGCTCTTGCTATCAAACCCTGTTTCCTCTCCACTCTTAGTTTGAAAATATCTGATTGGCACAAAGGTCTGAAGCCTCTCCATCCCTATCCCTTGCAGAGAGGTCTCCCAATAAATCTCTTGTGATGGTCTCAGACCACATAAGTAAGGACAAGAGTAGACCGTGAAGTGACAGAATATAGAGGTGTTCCCAAGCAATGGGTTCTGTGTTCTCTCTAAACAACTTTCTAAGGTCATATCTGTCAAAGGTGAAGAATAGAGGTGGAAACAACTTGAAAAAAAAAAAAGAGAAAAATACATATCGTTGATATGCATATGCTTTCATCCATAGCAGTGATAGAAAGCCACGCATACCAAGCACCTCTCCTGTATGGGGCCTGAACAGGGAACTTTCACATAGCTGCTATCCTTAATCTCCACCACCACCACCCTTGAGGTCAGTAACTCTATACTCATTTCACAGATGAGGAAAGCTGAGACTCAAGAGACTGAGTCATTGGTCTAGGTGTGCAAGCTTTAGCAGAGTACCCATTAGACATTTGTTGAATGAATGGCTTACACAGATGATGCTCTTTCCAATTTCCAATTGGTTGTATACTTTGTGTGATTTTTTTTGGTATGACAATGATTTTTAGTTAAATACATAGTTCACATGTTTTAGTCATCACAATGAGAAACCTTAGGTGGTTTCTTCTTCTTATCTTTTCTTTCTCATGTATTTATTTGATTTGATTAGATGGTCTTCTCATAATACACTAGTCATCAATCTGGCAATCTTCAGCACTTACCTGGCCATATTTTATATATGTGCATTTATTTACTTTTTGAAGATTTATTTATGCATACAAGAACTGGAGTGTAGGCCAGAGGTGCATGGGGTGAGAGGATTCACTAGAGACAGAGTGTGGAGCAGAACAGATGGAATCTACTTAAATACACTGCTGAGAGGAGCAGCAGGTGAGACAGGAGAAGTCTGCTGTGCCATGTGGGTTAGCTCCCTTGCTTGGGATTGAACTGATGCTGCGTGGCTGGCAATAGCTTGATAGCACTGAGACTTTATCCCCTGCATTACCAGGAAGGCCCTATATATGTATTTATTGACAACATTCTTATGTCTAGGAATTGGAAACCTGTCTAGTGTAAGATCTGTGCCATAGACCAAATCCATTTCAGTTGTGTTCTGTTGTAGTATAAACAGATGAAAAACTTTTCTTCATGCATATCACATTGCATCTTTGCCAATTTCATGACAAAATTCCTCTCAACTTCAGCATCCACTTTAGGAAAGCTTGAATCAAAAGCAGCACAATGGCTGTCACATCGTTACTCTAATTTCAGGTTTAGTTCCCCAACCAGGAATTGATCCCAGGCTGTGGTGGCAGCACTGAGTCCTTGCCACTAGACCACCACAGTTTGGTGTCTCACAAAGTCGCAGCAAGAACTTTGCTGGCGCTCAGACAAGCAAGCAAAAAGAGGCAAATTTGTTTAGAGAAATAGATAAAAGGAAAAGTCTATTAAGAAGAAAATGAACAGAAATAAAGTGGGACTCCAAGGCTGGTGGGACCAGGTCGGGAAGCCCCTTGTGTGATTACCTCCACCCCCAACAGGTTTTTTACTATTGAGGGTATTTTCATGTTAAATCATGATCAGCATGGTTCAGCCATAACCTCCAAAAAATGTCACAGTAATTGAAAATGCAAAAAGTGGTTGGACAAGGAAATGCCTATGCTGCTTTATTTACCCCCAAACACAAAAGCTACTTAAAAGATTATGACTGATTGGGAAATGAAATTTGGTTGGACAAAAGCACTTGAAGCTCCAGACGCTAACATTTCCATCAAGGACCTCCCTGAGAGTCAGAATTGATGTGCGGATTGTTTTAGTTTTGTTGTTAATAATATCTGGATGAAAATGCCTGCCAAAATATTTCACTGAAGGATTTAAAATATGCTTTCCACGTCTATAACTGAAGGGCAGTGTGTGTGTGTGTGTGTGTGTGTGTGTGTGTGTATGTGTGTATGTGTGTGTATTGGCATTTGCCAATTCATCTGTCTGAATGAAAAATAACGGATTGCGTCTTTAAGAACACTGTATTCTTGGTACTTTTAAGTCAATGTCTAATTTGTGTTCTTGTAAATTATACTGGTCAAAAAAGAAAATGGCTCAAATATTATAAATGAATAGAGCAGTAGACCTCGTTTCTTGTGGGCAGGGATTGGCTTATTAAAATTCTCAATGTTCATTTTAAAGGATTAACACAATGCTTGGTACACAATATATGATAAATAAACTCTTGGCGAATTAAGTTGAACGACATTAGCACTGCAGACATTAGAGTGGGCAAAGATCAGTGAAGCATTTAAATTTGCTTCAATTTTCTTCCAGAGCAGAGCATAGAATTGTCACATGAGGAGGCAGGCTGTGTGCACGAACTCATTATTGAGGTTTCAAATGAATTATTAATCCCTGAGAATAATCCACAGTCAGGGTTGTCTGTCTTGTAGCCAGAAAGAGAAAGAATAATTTTCCTAAAGTATATCCTTTTTCCCCTCCTCAAGTCTTTGTTTTTGTAGCTCTTTGGAGCTGTGGTTCTAATTCTCATTCTATCCCTGACTTACAGTTTGACCTCAAAATGAGTCACTTAATCTCAGTTAATAGCTGAAGTTTCCCCTTCAGTGAGAGCCAAAGGGGTCTGGCTATGTAGTTAACAAATATCAAGCCGCAAAAATTGAATGTGTTATTCAGTGTCATCCATCATCTCTGTAAGGCTAACGGAAATGAATCACAGATACAAAGCCCCATTTTCACTCCCTCAACTCCTCCCAAATTGGCATTTGGAGGTTGTTCAGTCACTGTGTAGTAAAGAGAGTCAGATAAGGAAGCTGGGGATACTTACCCAGATGCAGTGGAGAAGATAACCTGGTAACAGAGAGCAGCATAGAGAAAGCTTGGCTCACTGGTTGGGGTGACTCGGATCTTCTGATCAACAACTTGCCACCTTGGAAAAGAATAAGCTAGTTTCTGATTTTGAAAAATAAGTGAAAAAAGGCAGTTGTGTGCTCCAACCTCCGATATTTAAAATTAGGTGAAATAAGATGCACGTTAGCAGAATAAATCTTATTCACACGTTTCCAGAACTTGCCACTCGCCTTCTTTAAATAGTAAGCACTTCTTGGAGACTTTACATAAGATAAACTTTAAAGATTAGATTTACATATGTTACTTTAATAGCATTCTGAAAGAAGGAGGAATGTACAGTTTGTTGTAGATGGTGATGCGTTATGTTGTAGATGGTGATAGGTTATGAAGGATAAAACAGGAGAAGTAAGGTTTCTCCCCAAGGCTTCGGGCATTCTCCTGCTGCCCAAACCTGTTTCCCAGGGAGGAAACAGATCCCTAGAGGTGAAAGCCTAGATCCCTGTGGGAAAGATCTAGACTGACCTAGGTGGAGTCACTATGCACGTTCTCCTTAGAATGCAGGTCAGTTGCAAATCTTGAAGACACTGCACTGCTAACTCCTTTCAATAACATGGACCCATGCTGATTGAGAGGTTCAGACCTCAAATTTGGCTGTATCCTGTTCTTCTATACTGTCACAATCCCACACACTGGCCTAAACAAGCAACAGGAGATTGCTTTGGGTTCCCAAACTCATCACCACGGTGCACACAGCACCATCTGTGCACTTCCTGGGTAACAGCAGTAATGGATGGATACTTCAATCGCATATGAAAACCTCTAAAGCTCCACTTGCCAGGGCTGTAAATCATACACATAACTTTCCTAAGCGTCTGATGTGATGGGTTCCCTACACAGAATACTCCAGGAATCTTTGTGATAATGGTAGTTTATAAATCTGTTTTCTTGTGACAGTATTTACAAGCTCCATGATTTATAGTAGATTGCAATAAATATTCCACATGACAAAACACTGAAATTGGAAATAATGATTTGTACATGCGTAGAATAGAAACTGCTATTTTTCAGTGTTCAGAGGGAAAATGGAATCATGAAAGAGTTTATTTGAAAACAATATATTATTTAACAACCCATTCCAATCAGTAACAAAATACTGCACTTTAATTACACCCTGTACTGGGTCTGGGATGTCCTCAGTGATTGCCTACCAACAGACAGATCCCATAAATAAAATGATTGAGATTTTTGTTCCATTTATTTGTCAGGTTTACTGCATGGCATGAGGGGGTGGTTCTTGGCTTCAGGTACAGGTGCTGTGAACTGCTCCTCCAAATTATTATTTGAGAGAATGAGAGTTAAAGTCAGATCCAATGGAGTGATTTCCTCCTTGTATTGCAATTGTTTAAGGGAAGTAATGGAAGAGTGACCATTATTTTATATCATAAGTCATGGAATAAATGACCAGGGTTTTGGAAATAATAACTCTTCGGATTATAACTCTTACTTTAAGTATTAACATAATTGAATGCTATAGCTTTTGATTTTCCTTAATGTTTCTGTTTAATTTTTTAATGGTCTTTTTTTTTAAAAAAAAAGATTTATTTATTCATCTATACAAGCACTGGGTACAGTCAGAAGCACGGGAGGGAGAGAGAACTCACCAGAGTCAGAGTGGGGAAGAGAACAGGCAGACTGACAAAATACACTGCTGAGGGGAGCAGTGGATGCGGCAGGAGAGGTCTGTGCGTCATGTGGGACCCTTGCTTCTGGCCCAGCGCTCAACTGCTGTGCCACCAGGGGAGGCCCTTTTTAATGTTCTTTATACTGGAAAACTGTTACTTTTGTCTGGCACATACCATCTGCTTTTCTTTTCGGAATGGTATCTGGATTTTCTTTCGGGGAATCATCATTTCTCAGTTTTCCCCAAAATGTATTTTTTAATACTTTTTGTCTCTTCTAATTTAGATTTTTGATGTTATTTTTGATGTTTGTTTTGATGGTTTTTTAAAGCAAAGTAAATACCTTACTTCTTCCATAGTGTGAATTTCTTGCTTCCTAATATCAGTGTAATTATTCACTTGTTTTGTTCTGCATATACACACAAAAAATAGTTTCAGAGTAACAACATAGTTGCCAAAAATTGCTGAAATTTAAGATTTCCATGCTTCATGTTGACCTTAGAATATTTCTCATTAACTGTGTAGTCAGAGTACTGATCAAACCTACCTGAATTATTTCTTTTGCTGTGTGTTTAGATTGTCAATTTGACATACAGTTATGTTTGTTTGCTTATGTTTTGCATTCAATTTGAATGCTTAGTTTATTTCATTTTTTTAAATTTAGTTTTATTTTTGAATATGTAATTTATGTGGTTCAAAAGTTAAAAGCTTTAGAATCCATGCTCCCATACTGATCCTCTCTATCTGTTTCCCCATCTCCTAATAGTAGCCATTTTTGCTAATTTCTGGTTCTTTATGTTTCATCATGCAGAAAAGAACAAATATAATATATATTTAAATGTTTTCTTCCTTTTAAAGGCACATAAAGTCAGCACATTATATGTACTTTTGTACCTTGTTTTTTTCCCCTCTAACAATATATATATTGGAAATCACTCTACTTAATCCATAGCAATCTTCCTTGGACTTAATTTTAAGGGTTAAATAGTATTTAATTATGTGGCTGTTGCATAATTTATTCAACCAGTCTTTTTAAGGATGTACATTAAGGTTGTTTCTAATTTTTTCTATTAAAAAATTGCCACAATGAAAAAAAATCTCATATATATGTTGTTTCACAGAGATGGAGGTCCATTTTCAGGTAGATTTCTAGAGGCTGCATTACTGGGTTCAGCAGTAAATCTATATGTACTTTTGTTAGATGTTACCAAATTCCCTTCTATAAGGGATTTGTAAAATGTTTTAACACAGTAGTCTACTTTGTCTTTTAGAAAATTTATTCTTATTTTATATTCCTAACAGGGATTTGAATATCCTTAGGACACATGTATTTTTTATTTCTTCTTAAATGCTCTACAACATCAATTGTAGGTATTCAATATCGGGTAAGTGTTGAGTGAGTAAATGAATGAATAAATGGATTAATGAGTTATTCTTTTCCATGATATCAGCATTGCTAAACCACTTGACAGAAAGTTGGGACATGACTAAGGTAAGGATATTTTTCAATGTTACTCCACAAGTTGGCACAGAAGACAAAAAGGATCAATGAAAATGCAGGCAAGCAAGAAAGTTGGGATACTAAACTTGAGATTTTGAAATAGAAACCAAAGTATATCTGGTTAACATCTATAGTTTGCCAAGCAAGGTAAGTAAAAAGGAAAAAGGGTATGAAGTTATGAAGATTATGTCACAGAGCTTAAGGAGTTCACAATCTAGGTATATGTATAGGGAAAGAGGATACACACACACACAGACACACACACCCCAAAAAGGCAGTGTGTCATAAAGATCAAATGGTTGATGCTGACATTTTATGCAATTAAAGTTAAGAGGAGGGAATACAAGAACTGTTGTCTGTGATGAGGGAAGGGGAACACAGCAGAGAGACTTCATTGTAGGTTTGGGCTTGATTTGGATGCAGCACAATTCAAATTAAAAGAGGACCTGTGGAACAAATATGGGACCTTCTGATGTGTTCAAGGAACACTAAGTAATCAATCTGGCTAGAGCAGGGAGTTCATATAGGTGGACAGTGGGTTTTGTAATCATTGTTTGAGGCCAAATTTAGATGAAGTCATGAAATCCCTGTAAAGAAATATGGTCGATAATGGTAGCTATAATTTCAGTTTGCACTAAGTTTACAAGATTTTTCATGACCCTCTTTCTTATTTCTCTGAGTAATCCTTCCTACCCTTTGGGATAATACTGTCTTGGTGAGGTTGAGAAAATGGAGTCAGTCACCCTATCCACCTTCAAAGGGTTGAGTAGTTTCGATCAAGGGACCTCAACATCTGATCAGAGGAATTGTTTAGAGATGGATATTTTATGCAGGGAGGAACACTCAAAATTATCACAAGGTTTGTATATGGATGAAGGGAGAGAGAAGTACCTTCTTCACTAATTTTGCTGAGGTGAAATGAGCTGGAATGATGTGGGGCATCAGTCGGGGGACTGTCCTTGTGGTGAGAGCAGCATGCATGAGACAGACAGACAGACAGATAACACTTTGACCATCATTAGAGTTCCTGAGTCCACCTGTGCCTTAATCAAAGACCACCTCATGACTCACCAAATTATGTGCAAACCCAATTGATTTCTGTTTAAACTAGCTTGAGATTGGTTTCTAACTCTTTTATTTGAAAGAAGTTTGATTGACATAAGATGCTTATATTCCATCCCACAGATCAAAGCTCCCCAATTTGCTTTCTTTTGATCACTGGTCCTAGAGATCCTTCAAAAAATAAATTTTGTGGTAGAGTTAGTTTAGGGATACTGCCTTTCACAGCCTCCTTTGTAGGTTCATTAGCACATTAAAATATGAAATACTCTAAGACGTCCTCCTGAGAAGTAATAGTTTAACAGCACCAGAAGCCTTCTGTTTATACCTCCATGTCCTCTGTACATCATCCCTACCCAGGGGCAGACTTGATGCTGCGGATTAATGGACGTTCCCTTGCCTTCGACCTCAGCTGGGTCTGAACATTGAGAGCAAACAGGAGATCAGGGGTGGGACAAGTGCTGTGGGTATATTTATTTCCCTGGCTTTGCCCCACATGTCATCATGGGCTGACTGTAACCCAAATTCAAGGACAGATCCTAGAGGTATCCCTCTCCAGATACTGTAACATTTCTTTCCCTCATTCTTCAGGCCCAGGGATAGTTAATGGCTCCTTGCTGGTACCAGCTCTGGGTCACTGTCCTTTCCTTTATGGATTCCTCAAACCCTGCCCAGCCATTTACTAAACTTTCGCAAAATTACTCACTTTGGGTGTGCTATCAGTTTCCTGCCAGGACCTGATGGAAATCTTACTGTTAATTATTCCACTATTTGCTACACTTATTAAACCCATACTTTCTTTTTTTTTTTAAAGGACCCTCTGTCCTACAGAACACAAGT